GCGCCTTCCCCGAAAGGGGCCTGCTCTCGGTTCGGGGGGGCGCGGAGGCGGCTGGAGGGGGGCCGAGGGAGAGCTCTGGGCACGTCCGGGCTTGGGGGTGGCCGGGCAGGCCGGTTCGAGTCCCTGGATAAAAAGGTGATCGATCATTATCATTACACAGCCTTCTTCTGGGAGGTTTTTTCCAATTTCCCAGGGATTTCCCGGTGGTCTCCTTTTCAAAACCATCACGTTAGCTTTCAGCGGTCCAAGTTGCTGCCCCTAAGCAGGAGTAATCTTCTTTGGCCCGTGGGGGGGGGGTGTTGCTTAATTTTAAGGGGAGCTTCCTTGGAGGGAAATCAGATATCTATCGATGCATCTCTCTGGGGAGATAAATAAATGCAGGTGCCTCAGTGAGTTTGTGGGCCTGCATGTTGTATAAAGCAGGGTTCCTCAACCGTGGCGACTTGAAGATGGGTGGACTACAGCTCCCAGAATTCCCCAGCCAACATGGCTGGCTGGGGAATTCTGGGAGGTGAAGTCCACCCATCTTCAAGTTGCCAAGGTTGAGGAACCCTGGTATAGAGAATACACATTGGGAAACGTGTATTCAAAAGGACTGTTGTAACAGCAATAACCTATATATTGTTCCCTGTGCTGCTTAAAGGAAGGAGAAATAAAAATGCAATATAGAGGGGGAATGTATGTACTATTGTTAAATTTCTTCTCCAGGTTTGTTTGTTTGGTCTTCTTATCCAAAGAGATACTATGTGAAGACTGAATGAGAAAAAATGTCAAGTGTTTCCTGAGCCTAATAAGCATGTTCTCTCTTAACAAAATGCCTCCTTCCCCTCTTCAAAGAAATTTGGAATGTTTCTGGGAAATCTATACCCTTAATGTCCTTGTAAAATGTGAAACATCCTAGGAGAATTTATGACATTCATCTATGAATGGTTGGTTTTACATAATCAAAAGTAATTTTAAAATTACTTTTATTACTTTTGTCTTACTTTTTATAGGTTTATAAATTGTACTTTGGAGATTATGAGAAAAGAGAGTGATCAAATTTCTACTTCTCCCTCTTCATTTGGCTTCCAATATTTAAGAAAATATAAGTTTAGCAGCCATAAATCATCATCTGGAGAAGAAAGAAATTCACCCGAGATGGTAAATGAAATAAACAAATGTATTAAAAACAACATAGATGTGTTTCTAACAAAGAGACAAATTGCAAATTACTGATTGGAAAGGATTACAAAAAGCTTTTCAAATGTTACAACATTTTGTTTTCCCTCCACAGTAGTTACTTCTGACATAAAAAATATATATTTTGACAACAAAAGAAAATCCTTTCATTCTGGCTCACTGTCTTTTTCAAAAAAGAAAAGAAGAAAACAACCCAAAACTAAAAAAGGACAGAATGAGAAAGAAAAGACATACAAATACATCTTGAAGAGAAATACAAACATGTTAAACAATCTTTTTTTAATATTTCTCTCCAAAATAACATTTGTATGAAGGTAATATATGAGGGAAAATATTGTTAATATAGCCAATAAATGATGACCAGTTTACCATCATTTTACGTTTTTTCAGAGCTGTTACTAGTTAAGTCAATTTTCCAGACAAAGCAATTTCCCATACTTTTAAATTCTATAGATGCAATAAGAGAGGTACTTTACTTTTCTAATGTTTTGCAATAACATCTAATAATAGGAATTGACTCTGTTTCTGATGTTGCGTTAATTTATCTGTGCTAGGAAAATGTTTTGCAATAATAACTCACAACAGCTAACAACAGAATTGAATCAATTTCCTATGTTGTATTAATTTATATGCATTTGGAAAAACACTCAGTGATCCAATAACAGACTTCATTTTGAAATATGATTTACGGATTTTCCCTTTTTTTAAAAAAAAAACATGTTCAACCAAAAGGAATAAGTGGATGTCGGTACCACAGATGGTAGTATTGTATGGCAATTTGCTTATGACTGCACCAATACATTCTTTTTTGCAATTAATATGATGCAATTTGCAGAAACATAAGCTTTACAGAGCTTTACTCTGTGCAGATGCAGAAGCAAAATCCATCAAAGTAAGAATGGGATGATTCTTCGCCAAAATCAGGGAGTCTTACATTTGGAACTCCTACTACAGAGTCAATAAACATATTCTTTATTTACTATTTTTGACAATATTTCTTAGAATTGAAAAATCCAACACCACAACTTCAGTACTAAAACTTTTTTCCTAGTATATTTTTTCCTGTTCTGAGAAAAGTATAAAATGTGCATAAAACATTACTGAACCCAGAATTGCTCCCAAATCCCTCTTTACACACCTCCTTTCTGGCTTGCAGCAAGCCAAACAAGGATGTGTTTAAAGTCCTGTGAGTTTAAATAATGAATTATTGACTCAGTTTTGATGAGTTAAATATATTGGAAGTATAATTTGAGAAATACATTATGAAGGTACATACTATGTACACACGCACATGGATACACACACACACATTAACAGACTGCCAACCTGATCTCCAAAGTCTACACTACTGCCTCTTTGTCCACTTAACAGAAAACTCGTACAAAATGGGTGTGAAATTATATGGGGTCAATTTGTAGCTAATAAACCATAAGCCAAAATTCTTCCTCCCACACATACATATCTTTATTACAGTCACTGATCAGGATACAACAATCAGCAATGGATGGAACATAACAGAACAGTTCATGATGAGTTCATCGATGGGATCAAAGCATGTGTAGTTTAGCAGACAGGGTAACACACTTTGGCCATGTTCACAGAGACAGAACCACACGGGTCTGATAATAACTGTACATAGAATAAATCGGACTTGCTTGGGTACTTTATTAAATAGGGTGTGATGAGATGGGCCCTTGCATCCTTATAAAAAATACAACATAGCAGGATACTGACTATGGTTTTGATAGACTCTTCTGTACAGGGACACCATCTTAGCTCATATGGAATTTGTTTGCCCTCAAGAACTGCTGTAGGGAATCCCATCCATCTTGTAGTTGGCATTATATGCTAATTGGAACTTAGGACTTGTTCTTCCAGTCAAAGCAATAATTTGAAGCCAAGAAAAAAACTATGGCTCCAGAACAAACCAGAAAACAATGTTCTTAAATCAACATAAGTGGATGCCCTAATCTGTTCAGCTGCTCCTACTGTAGGAAGAACCCAAGCAAGAGTAACTAAATGTTATCATGTTTGTGTCATAAGGTGGAAGTCAGACTACTCATTCCATGGCATCTGGATTCAGAAATTAAATGGACAACTATGACAGCTCAGGGGGTGTTTTATATACAAAGAATTTATTTTATTTTCATAACAGTAGCTTTTTTTGGCATGGAAGCTAATATACAAGGAGTAGAGAAGCAACTTATGTCACATGCCACAGAATTAATTAAACAGGAGAAACAATTTGCAAACAAATACAGTGAATAATGTTTAGTGGAAAATGTGGGCAAAAGTGAACATGCATGCCTTGGGCAACAGTGTTTGTGTCCAGCAAGCATACTATAAAAATTAAACAGAGTTAAGTTCTATTTAGTTTTATTTACTTATGAAATATATACACCTCCTCAGTTGGACTCTAATTAATTTTATGAATCCTGTCTTAAATCATGCTGTTGTTTCCACTAGCCAATTAGGAATGTTAAAATGTAATTTTCATGAATTTGCAAATGCCACTGGGAAAGTTCCCCAACTTAGCTTCTTTCGTAACTCTCAAAACGTAAGCTGTCTCTTCCCTTAGAAAAGCAGAACGCTAGACCGTTTCCAATGCAATGAAAAATAAAACAAAGTATTTTTAGATTATATTCCGGATGCACCATCTCAAGATGGGGGAGAGATGCAAAATAAAATAAAATTCACAAAAACTTACTGCCCAGGTTTTTGTCAACCTGAAAATAGGTGCACTCTGCAGAGCTGATACCACAGACATGAGGGAATGAAGGTTGTTCAGTTCTAGAAGTTTCTGAGGAGAGAAAAAGACCAAAACGCCATCAGTTTTCCATATGGGATTGGAATGTCCAAGCTCACTCAAGAAAATAATTGCTGTTCCAGACATTTGCTGTCCATACTGTAAATTATAGAACGCTCAAAAGATCTGTCCTGACTTTGATGCAAAAGTACAAAATGGAAAGACCAGATGTCAGGAGGCAGAGGATACTGTTCCTCAGTTCGTTTCGAATACTTTCAATACAGGTAAGCACATTGTAAAGTTCAGCTTTCGCAGCTCGGGTAATTATGCATCTCTGTGCATTCATTAAAAAATAAGAACAGGCAGTTTAGTGCAAGGGCTATTTTGTTAGGCTTGGATTGGGGAGATCCATGGACTTTCATGGGGATTTCTGGAGAGTTGCTGTCTCTCTATTCAGCCTACCTCACAGGAACTCCCTGTAAGTTGCCTTGAGGTGGGACGCAATAAAGAGATAATAAATAATTCTCAATGATTGAGATGAAAGCTTTTCATCTTTTGGCTTTCTTGCTCCCATCAATGGAGTCCTTTGCACTTTGAGCAAGGAATCAACTTTGATGGGCAAGAGAAGAGGCTAGTTAGTATACTAACTTGGCTTGTCTTACCAATGGTCTAGTCTCCCTCTCAAGAATCACCATTCAGCGGACGAGAAAGGAAGTCAGGGTATCTGATACTGGTGGCGAACCATCATATTACTCAATATATAGAGGTTACTTGAGCATTGGTTTGCAAGAACATGGAACTTTGAATTCTATATATAGCGGTGTTTTACATTTATATTTCTTTTATATTATGGGTGAAGGGTGGGCAACCTTTTGATGACCAGGGGCCAAAATTCACCATATTTGTAAAGGGTCAGAGCCACAGTTGCATACTTGGGCAGGATCCAGATGGTGCTTTCTAGGTTTCAGGAAGAGGGAAATTGGGGGTGGCATTTTGTTTTTTTACTACAATAAGCTCTTATTCTAGAGTGTTCAAGGGTTTCCCATCACAAAATCCTGGGAAAACGTGTCTCCATTTCTAGCAACAGTGTTCAGAGGGGGCTGCAGGCAGCACAAAGGAGGAACTGGGGGGGGCAACATTATTATGGAGCAGTAATGAAAAAGCTTGTCATAATTGAATCTGCCTCTATTTCCCCATCATGTTAAAATGTCAGTTTACCGATACCACATAGAAAAGCATTTAAATGCAACAACAACTGATGCATAACAGAAAACCAGAATGCCTGCATTCAAATGTAAGTTAATTTATTTCTCTCCAATGATTTGTTTAGCCAGTAATTTGGGACTAAATTATGTCAGGCTACCAGTGGTGAAAGATGAACAAGCAACAATTCACTAGGCACATAACAATTAAGTTTTTCTTTGCTATCTCTCAGAATAGATTTTTGCCTCTTTACAATGGAAGCCAGTAAGGTCACACTATCCAAAGTCTTCATAGTAGTTACAAACTACCAAATCCTTGCCCACTCTCAGCTCTGTGGAGTTCAACTCTCAGAATTCCTCATCCAGCAAGGCCACAGTTGAGAATAAGACATACTAATCTGTGTGTCTGTGTGTTTTAGATTTTTTATCCTGCCTTTATTAGCTAGCTGAAGGCAGTGAACATATCTAATATTCCTTCCTGCTCCTATTTTCCCCAACAACAACCCTGTGAGGTGAGTTGGGCTGAGAGAGAGGGACTGGCCCAAAGTCACCCATCTGGCTTTCATGTCTTAGGCGGGACTAGAACTCATAGTCTCCTGGTTTCTAGCCTGGGGCTTTAACCACTAGACCGAAGGGGCTCTCTCTCTCTCTCTCTGGTTGTTCTCCAAAAAAGAAGATTGAAACTGACATCATATAGGGAGAATAATTATGAAGCTACTAATGGCTAAGGAGGAAAAAAAAATTAAAGATGGGAGTTAGCAGTGGAGAAACGACGATTTTTGTAGAGATGATATGGATTGTTTCAACCTTCCATGTCATACTACCTTCCCTTGGGCCAACTAAACAGCATTGTTATAAAGTACTCTTCCAAAACGGATAGTTAATGTGTAGGCAATTAGATAGGTCATAATATGTAGGTCATTAAGTATGTCTTTAGCCCACATGCAACTCTTTTTATGGGCCATTTGTTTGTTTCAAATATTTTTGGTTTGAATGTAATGCTGAAAGATGCCAGTTGAAATTTAAAATAATTGGTTAACTTGGGATTTCATAACACTTGAAACATTTCTTATTCCTTCTGGAGCTAGGTGAAAAAGTTAAACATCAAAGATGCTTTTGGTGGCACTTTTACGTTTCTTGGAATTCTAGTATGCTTGCAAGTTTGTCTTTTTCAAGAATGGAAGTTTAGGAAGTAGTAAAATTATTAAAAAATAAACAGGTTGATCCATGTTCTAAGTAACACATTCTCGAATGTCTGTTTCATGGATGAAGTCATGGCAGGCAACCTATCCTTAGACCACCATGGAACCCAACCAGAAGACATATACAGCTCCAGACACCCAATCAAGGCACCTATGTAGCACTCTGGACTAAAAGTTTTCCAACTGGTGAAGTAAATGATACCTTATTATTACAGAATCTCAATGATGCTATCTCATAGTTTTATGGTAATAAAGCACCATTCATTGCTAAAGCTCTGTGGATCAAAACTGAAAATAAAATGTAAAATATTAAAATCATCCTATATAATAAACACAGTTTATTCAAAAGTTTGGATATAGTCTGGAGAGGTGTAGCCACTCACACAATTCTGCTGACCAAATCACCCTGGTTCCTACAGAAGATACTTTCTTTTTCAGCAGTACCAAAGGAGGCAGGATAGATGTCAAAAAGAAAAGATATCCTTAGAAGGAATGATATGTTATAGCAACAAACTTACCTTTGCTATTTTCACAAAATGGCTCAGTATTTCTGCCCTTATTTTTAAGGTCTGTGCTGTTAAAATTTCTCGTACGACCCAGAAACTGACCTACAAATAAAAAGAGAATTTCGCAGAGTTGGAACAAAAAACAAAAACTTGGTTTAAGACGATGGATCAAGACAGGCAAAACAGACAGCATAAACTGGTACATGCAGAAACAAACACAGCCGTGGACCATAATCAAAAGGCCAGAAAGATGCATATCGTCAGATTGAGATGGAGAGAAGTGTTAACGGTATCTTGCGTGGTCACATCAGCTCAAGGCACAAATTATGGATTAAATATAGCACTAAATATTTCAGACACCTACTTTGCATAATAGCATACTTTCTTTCATGTGAAATGCAACTGCTTTGCAGCCTGAGAAAATATCAAATTCCTCTGAAATCATAATTGTTTAGCTACACTGTTAGTACCAATGTAAATACACCACTGTTGAGTGCATAACATAGAATGTAAATTAGGAACAGGAACAAACAGGAACAGTACTTCAATTCTGTACTTATATTCCACTCCTCATTAAAAGTAGTTGTTTATATCAGCTCCCTTTCCCAGCTGGATTCAGTTTCACTTCAGCTGTTACTTTTTGTGGTATTTTAGTGAACTGAATAATTCATAAGCAATTATTATACTGATTTGGTAAACAAGAAACATTCCTCCAAACAGTTTGTGTTTCCCTCCTGCAGAATTCTCCAGCGCAGCCAGGAAAATATGCTTTTTAATGCTTATCTGGATCTGTAAATTTCAAACATATATGAATATGTTTGTATATGTATACAGGTAACATATATTGTATATATATGTATCTAACCTATCTGTAAATTTCAAACATCAGCAGAGGAGAAATTTTTTCAACAACTTGTTTCAACAACTTGTATTTGCCTCCAACAAAAGTTATTTAAAAAAAAAACTTACAATAGGTAAGGTTTTGTTTAAATGGGAATATTGTTATTTCTACTTGGTTTTTCAAAAGAAAAGAAAAAACAAAACACAAAAAAACCCCCAAAACTTTCTGGCCTCAGAGTTCTTTCACTGAAAGAGTATATCTTCATTTAAAACTTCATCTTATAGATCTCAGAGTTCAATTAAAAAATCATCTCTCTCTTGTTCATTTTTGCAGTGCAAAATGAGACATAGTCACAACTACATTTGATTTTGTCAAATAAAACTGTTATAACAGTTTGGAAATAGCAAGTATCCCGGTCACAATTCAGTTTTTCTTAACTTTTCACAGATCGTGTTTATCAGAGCTGTTACCTGATTAAATCTCCTTGTAAAGGCAACAACATTAGGGGCAAGGATGTGTTTTTCTTTCTTATTCCATCCACAACTTGCAAGTTCCTAAAAAATACAATGGCATGCTGTTATTAAAAAAAAAATGTTCATGACATTTCCCCCCCCAAAATGAAATAAAGCTCCTCATAACAAAAACAGAGTGCCAAAGAAAACAGTGTCTGAATTCCAGATGGACGAAAAAGGGGGGGGAAATCCCTCAGCAGCATCCTCTGAGACCTAAATGAGGATACTAAAGGCACTTAGGTTTAGTTATGTCTGCAATATAGATATCACGTCCCTTTTAGCACAGATCCCTATTAGACAATGAAGAATCAGTTGTAATTCTAATTACTGGATGAACACCATACTTGCAGAATCCCAACCAAAGGCCATTTATGTAAAACATGAGGCTGCTTCTTACAGCCCATAGTCAGTTTTTAGAAGAAAAGAACCCCTCTCTGGACTGGATCTAGCCTAAATTGACTGACCTTAAAAACTTGAGTCACAACTGACTTTTCCATTTATTTCAAAGAATTTAAGTTCAATTAACAGGCTAAATCAAAGAGAGAGGGAATGGGTGGGTGGGTGTAGCATTGAGCCACACCGAGGTCTTCTCCAGGGCCTCTTCTCACCAAAAACCAGAGGTGGAGAACAACAGAGAAAACTCCGATCAACCATGTTTTTGTACACACCCAGAGTCACTGCTGTGAGATGGACGGCTCTATAAATCATTTCAATCAATAAATCAATTTCTAACCGTCCTGGCCAGCCATGTGTTGAAAGGGCCAAGAATCGGCTATTTCTCCTCCCTCCAACATATAATAGCCTCTCTTTACAATCCAAACCAATCTTCAGTTGGAAATAGGCAGGCTTTGAGGACAAATGCTTTGCTCTTGTTAACACATTTTGCAAAATGCCTCTTTTGAGTGCTTTGCACAGCCCTTGTAGAAACCATTGGAATTTCATTGAGCAACATCTTTCTTATTTATTTTAAGGAAAATAGCTCATGACAGAAAAGATTTATTTATTATTAAACTAAGGGATTCACTGCCATTTTGTGCTAGCCTACCAACTCAAATGAGATTATATATTTTTATTTAGCCAAACATAGTCTTTTTATAATGTCAACAGTTGATTCTGTAACATTTGTTATATAAACACTCACTAAACAAGACAAGTGTAATGAGAATAAATTTGCCAAGATTTGAATGCACTGATGCCTGAAGTAAGCAGAAATAGTATATGTAAAACCCATATAACTAATTTTCACTATATAAAGCTTGTAATACATTTTCAATTACTACAGTATACAATTAGAGTAAACTGGCAAACTATCTTTTTGCAGGCTCAACATTTCTAAGACTTATTTATTCTGAAGTGGAGATAAGGAAAACCCTCTGACAGTTACAGAAATTAGATCTGGAGTTTTTATTATGATACTGTCAGGGCAATGATTATCTTCTTTCAGCTTCAGTGGCAAGAAAATGCTTTATTTAGCACACATTCTCTATGATGCTGCTAAATTTTCCCAAAATGATGATGATGATGATAATAATTTCTTAAATTTATATGCTGCCTGACTCCCAGCAACTTATATAAGATGGAAAAATACTGACAAAATTTTCTAGATCATGTTGATCACCATTGGATACCTCTGAATTCCTACAACTATCCGTGAATTTGTACTCTAACAATATTTGAAGTACTTCAGTACTGTTAGACTGGTACAATAACTATTTCATGTAAAATTTTGCAACCACATCCTAAATGTATTGCAGATTAATTTTGAGTATTTGTTAAACATTTGAAGGCATCTGAAGACTTCTATGTATACCTTAGAAAACTGCATAAAAGTACACTTAACGAAAGAAAATGTTACTTTATTTTTGCCTAAGTTGTTCCTTAACTACTAGCTCAGATTATGAAAAATCTACAACATCCACAATAAGATTAAAACAACTATGTCCCAGCAATGTCTTCATCAAGCATCCATTCTACAACCTTTTTTCTTGGGTGTGCACACACACAATGTCAACTGTTATTTAAGTTTCCTGTTCTATGGAGGCTATGAAGAAGCTATTAGCAATAACATGTCTGCTTCTAAAGTAGTCCAACAAGAACTGCTTCTATTTGCATATGATACACTGAATGTTCTGTCGGGCCCAAAAGCTCAATGGTTAGCCTAGTTTCTACTCACACTTCCCAATGCCAGTTCCCACTGGATCTGACCTTACTAATGGTTCACCTACCAAGATTTGAGTCTCGCCCACAGGATAAACAGATGTTTGGGGGTTTTAAGAGTATTGAAAGATTTTGTTCACAGGTCACAGGGTTTTAGAAACTTCTGCTATATGTGACAACATAAATGAAATCAGACTGGGGAGGCAGTAAAAATAGTAAAAACAGGCTCGTAAGTATCAGTGAGAACAATTATCACTTCAGTAGGTACGAGCCTATTGAAAACAAACAGATTTCTGCCTGGAAAAGGCATTTCAAGTTTCCATTCTGATTCTGAGTATGGCATTTTATTAGAACAAATTTTCCTACTAATATTCGATCGAATGCCACTGGCACTGTGCTGGATAAGAAAGAGAGAATTTCCTTATTCGCTGTTCTTCTCATTAGTTGCTCAGAAGCTTTTCCTGCTGGAGTTTTCCAACTGCTTTGGATCATGACATAATTATACTATAAATATATCTTCACGTGGTTATTGCTGGAGATGGCCGAGAGAAGAACAAAGGAAAACAGCAATATATATATTTTTTTAAAGACGTGAGCAAGAAACTAGGCTTCCTTGGAAATATCTAGATTATGTAGATGCACACACACACACACACACAAACAAGCTGTATATTTAGGGACATACCATCTGGGCTTAAGCCTTATTACACTAGGAAACACATACAAACATATTTTTAATTTTCCCAGTCCAAGGCAAAAGAATGGAGATTGGCATATGATATGAGAATCCAACACAGCTGTATTATTTGAGTCAATGAACATGAGACCTTCACAGATACTTTGCATTACCCATTAATGCAGCACCCTCTTCCTTTCCATATATGAAAGCAGTCTTTCAATTTCTAAGTTGTTCTCTTTGGAAGTTTCCTTCTGATGTTTTTGAAGTTGGGCCATGTTTCACAAGAAAGATTTAGTGTGCTGTTATGATTTCTTTCCCACGTGGGTAATAACAGGAGTTACCAATGATTAATGCAACAGTTTTAACAGTAGCAAATGTCCAGAAATAATTCCAATGATTACGTTCCTTCCAATGATAGTGATGAATTCATTTTAAAATATAATATGTAAGTTATGGTAAGCAAAAATAGTCTCCTTCAAATCAACCTCAACTCCCGTTGACTTCATGGACACTAACATACCCACGTAGTTTTGTTCACAAAAACAGTTCATTGTTCCCTTCTTCTGAGATTCTTTTTGCATTTGCCAGTCTAGCCTACAGCTCTGGCGTCCCCTGCCCATTTCCTATCCAAGTATTAACTGGGTCTGTTATTGCTTCCAATCCAGTCACGATCAGCCAAGTATTGTCATCAGCTAAGATGTACAATCTTAGTTATATAAAGAAAACTCCAAGATGATGATCACTGTGATGCATTTTAAAGAGTGGGCTATTGTTATCAATGCACACACAACCCTTGATTTAATGGATGATTTGAGGGGAAAGGTGTCTTTTAAATCCAGATGTCCATTAAATCCAAATTTATATCACTGATGCAATTCATGTCATTTTGTGTAATTCAGTCATTAACATTTGTATATCATTTGCTGTAGTTTACATCATTTGCCACTGAGGGGCAGGTCGATATTATCCAAGTGTCACAGGGATGCCCACTCAAGAACTATGCAGCCTTCTCCTTTATCTGGTCTTAAAAGAAGTATTAGTGCCAAGATTAACCAACTGCCAGATTTAACTTCTTTCACATCACAAGAAATCTTGTTAGCAATTATCTCTGCTAATGTAAGTATCAACAAATCAATTAACTTATTAGGGAGAATGTGGGGGAAATGCATGCTAGACATTTACAGCTTTCTCTTGGTCTCTTAATGGTCTCAATACATATGTGAAGATATATGGGGCATCCGTTTCCAAAATAGATGCAACTGCAAACGTTTAGTCACCTTTATGTTGATGATTACTTTTAAAAGTTTCATCGGCCTACATCACCTTTTCTCTGTTTAGCAGAAAAATATCATTCAAGCTGCTATATAACAGCTTATTTCTTATGGAATGTTCAACTTTTTAAAACTACATGAGTGACGTTTTCAGCCAGCACTACTTTGAGATGTATCCAATGATGCAACCAAATTTGCAGGGCGCTGAAATTTCTATAAAATGTCCCATCCAAAATCACTCCAAGCATCTGGACCAGCAAATGTATGGATCATGCTATACAGGCCTCCTTTATACCTATACAAATTATGGTTAACATTACACAAAAAACAAGAAGGAAAAACTATGCACCAGTGAACATTCTTCAGGTCCAACATGCAACCTGCTTCTACTCAGCTAGGGGCAACCAACAGCCTCTACTGACAGTTCCTGCAAACTGCACTAGATAGCCTGCTCACATACATTCTCCTTTATGTCACTTCCATAAAGTACTATCATAGGTATCTTCTATGTAACTACTGGAGTGGGAGTAAGCAGAGAAAGAATGCAGGCATATGAAGTTGGCAATGGGCACCCAAACTATGAAATCCATAACCAAGCTATCATTAAAATTGCTATGTTTCAGTTGTTGCTATTATTATTGCATTAGAATGTTATGTACGGACATTTACTGAAATACAGGTTGAAGGGTCACAACAACAACTGTGTTAACAACAACCAAATCCTGACTTTTAAAGGCTTTCTTGGTAACTTCTGCACCATGGAGAAAGGATCTCATAAGTCTTCCACTTACTCAGGCTAAAACATAATGATTAATATAAATATTTGTGGCTTCAAAAGTGACCCTCCAAGTTTCCGAAACTATTTCCTGAATCTTAAAATGAACACTTTATAGGTGTAACTTATGTCTGTACAAAGGAAGGAGATCAGGAGCAGAAACAATATAATTTGTAAAATTAACAAGTTCTGATGAACACAAATGAGGGATTCTCTTGAAGATACCTGGAACAGATTAGAAAAAGCCTTTTCAGCTCTAAACTGACTGGAACAGCCTAAGCATCTATAGCATTTATATCTTAAATCTATTTCAGAATGAACTATGATGCAACCATGTGTCAAAATGGATCTGTTTGTGCCGGAAAAATCAAGGACTTTATTAAACAGTTGGTAGACTGTAATACATAGTCAGTGTGGCTCGAGGAACTAAAATCTGACAACTTTGCCATAGTTCACTTTCCTATTTCAAAAGAAAAATGTCTTCACACTTACAAACATGCTGGACTCATTAAAGTCATAAAACATCTAACGCTGCTTTATGTTCTTTGGAATGTCTGTTCGTTCAAGCATTAGAAAATGTCAAGGCGCTTATTGAAGACTGCTGATTTTGACTTCTCCTTAAACCTTATGGCAGAAGCACAGTGAAGAAAAGGGGCAAATGGTTGTTGACCAGAGAATTACAACATTTCAATTTCTTTTGCTACACCCAGATGTTTGGTTGTCTGTGCCCCTTTGTTGACAGTTCTTTGGGTGGAAAAGTAATTCCCCATTTTGACCTACAAGTTCTCAACATGTCCTTTCCCCCTTTTATGTTTTGTATCTCATTACAGATGATGAGTACAAAATGGAAAAATAAAGAGCAGAGCAATAGCGCTTTCATCTCACTGCCTCAATACACACACATATATACTCCAAATGGTTATAATGTTACTTTCCGCCTCTGTACTGACAAATTTGATTCACAAGGTCTCTAATCAAACCTGCATAACGAAGTGCAGATGGCTGAAAAAGACACAGAACAGGACTTTAAAATCTAGGGAGATGTCTCAGTACACACTGCAAACTGTACAGGAGGATAATATTGGCCCTTAAGCATCCTCTGAATGGACTAAGCAACTTCACTACATAAGGAATGAACTCAAATCATAGTCCAGGTCAATTCAGGCTAGTATAAACCTTGGAAGCAGCAGAGTCAACAGTAGCGTTCTGCTGCTAAGCTTAGCTGATGCGGCCAGGCCACCTTCTGCATCCACTCTGCATAGCCTACCTTGAAGTAATGTTCCTTGACTTACGATACCATGTATTGGGGAGCGTCTAAGAACGTGTTCTCTCTCTTATTCACTGTACTCAGTTAAAGTGAGATCACTACAACCTACTGTGAAGAACTTGGCTCTGAGTCACAGGGAACTCTTCCAAGCCATTCCTTACTGCTATCTTTGAGAAGCCATAGGAAGCCTTTGGCAATCTCCAGAACTTCACAATCTTAGAACACTTCCTAGGATCCTAAAGTGATAAAACATTGGTTCTTCAAAATTTATCCTACTACAAGAAGCCCTGTATGATCTAACTCATGTTGATACCTGATGATATAGTTTGATCAGCAAGTTATCACAATAAAAATCCAAGCTTTTACTCAAAGAAGAGTTTTAAAATAGCCAGCTGGAAAAAGTCTGTTAGCAACATCTTCCGCAGAAGTCTAATTGGTCTTGGGACACAGTACATATGTTACATATTAAAGCATAGATAAACAATTATATATCAAATGTTCTGACTACATCTACCAAAAGTTTGAAAAAATTAATCATTTTTTATATTTCTCAGGGAATTAAAAAAAAACCCCTGTGTATTACAACATTGCCATTTTTTCCTTGCCTTCTGCCAACTTTTAGTTGAGTGGTCACGTGCAGTCAAACATATGGGTCCTATAGAAGGCCTATTTTAGGAAACCTCTATAGCTAGAGCAATGTTTTGACAGGCATACAGCCCTCACTCTCCAACTGAATGTTCAGATGGTTTCCTGCTCAATTCAGCCCAGCAATTATATAAATGAAGGCAACACTACTACTGTATGCTACATCATCAGATGGGGGTGACTACTCCATTTTGAACATGACAGTCGAAAGTGTGAAATAAAGGACGCCAGCACAGCTTTATATCACTCTTGTGAAGCTTTCTCTGCAGAAAACAAAGGATATTGACATAAAACCTCTCAAAGTCTTCTCCTGAATCAACTGACAGATATTAGACATTATCGTCAGACATAGGAATAGTGGGGAGAACTGGATCCCTTGGGGCATGGTGAAAAGTCAGAGAACTGCTTGTAAGGGCAGCAGTTGTAATAAGGGATGGTGTAGTGGCTTCCATGAAACCTACGAATATAATGTGCTATGATATGCACATGAGTGAATCTCTATTGTCCTTTTAAAAAAAAAATCAGTGAGTGAATCTAGAACTGTCCCAATAAACTGGAGTCTGAGAGTAGGAAATCTATCCAGTTCTTATATTTATATTTCAAATTTGTTGCCGCCATCTCACTGCAGAGTGACTCTTCTTTGCTGACAGCAATTTTTGGTAATAAAAGGACACATACCTCTGGCTGTATAGCTTTAAATACTGGCATATCCATCAGTGTAATCTGACTCTGTAACAAAAATGAAAGGAAGAACACTTATAAATTTAGAAAAACCTGATTCTGGCTAGCCCAATATTGGTCTGTCTAGAAAGCTGGCAGTGCATCTAAATTCACAGACTGTTGTGATAAATGGAAACATTCAAAGTCACTTGGGTTGACACCAATGACCAAGAGGGTACGTTTTGCACTAGCTGATGTTCCCAACCTATCCTCAGATGCAGCCACCCTTTGGCTGTCACTTATGTATGGCTACCTAAGACAAGGGCACCCCAAATCAATTACTTAATTTAGGAATTATTCCAATATTTTTGAATGCTGCAATTTTTAAATGCTATAATTATTCTCATCGTGGCTTCTGCTTCAAGAAACTTCTCTTCCTGATTTTTTTCCCCTCAGGGCCAACCTCATTTAATGTAAAATGCAACAGAATACCTGAATGCTTTAACTATTACTTTCACACCTGTCAGTATACCAAAACTGGATTCCTGTTGAGTCACATTCTCCCTGCCCAAAGTCTTGATGTATAACACAGCATTTAATAGCCGACCTTTTCAGCTTATCATTCAAAAAAAGTGCCACAGGAATCTAGTTTTGTAATGTTAATGGAAGTACGGTTTTTTTCCAAAAACTGGATCTATGCTATTAAGAGAAGAAAACAGAGGTGTGAAATGCTGAAGCGGTCACTAAGTGGCTGTGATAATGCTTCATACAGGACTAGATGAAAATAGTTATTATGGCAGAGCAAATGTGACTGCCCTTAATGTGCAATCAAATGTGTGGAAAACCAACTGACTACAGCCAACTGAATGGGAATCTATTTTTATACTTACGGCTACTATTATTTAGTATACATTAAAAAACCAGTCATTTTACTTACTGCAAACTCCTCTGGAGTTACTTTCAGCACGTCAAATACAACAGCATCATAGCTTTTATGGGCATAATCTGAACTCCGTCCTTCCAGAGAATCAGAACTGCTACTGCCCTATAAGGGGAAAAAAGAGGGGGGGGTGTGGCTTTACTAAGAAAGATGAATTTATCAATGGATTAATGAATACATCCACAAATTAAACAACTACAAAGCTGAGCCTCTATCAGTTTTATTGTTTACTAATCTTTCTCCTATCTTTTTTTTTAATACTGATTCTTCTTGCATGGGTCAGAGGGCTGATAGTGATTAATATAAGATCAGCAGTGGGCTGCTTCCAGTTTAAGTCTTGATATGTATACCAGGGAGATTTTCCACAGCAGTGACTCTGTGAAGCTTCCACTTTTAAGCTCAAAATGCAAAAAAAATGAAGAGTTGGAAGAGGAGATTAAGGCAACTGAATCCAATATGCCATTCTGTGCAGGAATCCAAGTGAAAGCACTGAGGACAAATGGAAGTCTAGTTTTTGCATGAGGACAAACAGCAAGGGAAAGGATACAACCAATCAGCTTCCTTGGTGGTTGATCGGTTCACTGCCAACATCTCTTGGTTATGATGTTTATCAATGAGCCGAAGAGGAACATAGTTTACCTGTTCTTGTTTCCAACTATGACACTTTTTTCTGAGATATAAAAGAATGTCAGCTCTCTACCAAAGGGGTCTGCTCTCTAAAGTGAAAAAATGGAGCACAGGTAATCCTCTAGTCTGTTCTGAACAATTTCTATCCATGGTTAGAAAAGAAAGTCCATACAATTGCTTACATATTATGTCATTTTTAGAATTATTCAGGCTTAAGGAGTTTGGTCAAAGAGAATGCCCAGCATCAGGGAGAACATGATCAGTTAAGCCCTAACAATGCAAATGGAAAAAAATTACCAAGATGACCAAGATTCATTTACAAAAGTACTATTAAAATAAGGGCAGAAGAGTTGGATTGTGACACATGTGCAATTCTTACTAGATACAGTTTAAAAGCAAGGTTGTAATCTTAGACAAGCTTACTAAGAAGAAGCTGTACTTTAAAAATCAGATCTCTAGAACAGATTCATTCTGCTCAGAAACAATTCAATCATCCTTTACTATAGCTATAGTGCTATAGCCTCAAGAGCCCGTATATTTAAGTGTATTGTCTGAAAAATCAGACAATGAAACAGAAGGAAAAGAAATCTTAATACCATGAAAATGTATTTAGAATAACTTAGCACTGTTTTAAAACAAAGACATTCAGAACTGATGTTCAAACTAGGCTAAGCCTGCAGTCCTAGGAGCACTTATCTTTGAATTAGTAATATACAACAGAATCTACTTCTGAATAAACATGTAAAGGATTTCTCAGTCTGAGAAAATGTGCCCAGTAAATTATTTCCATCTGCAAAACATTAAATGTTAGTTGCTATAACTCAAGTGTGTAAAAACAACAGTAGAAATTTCCTAAACTAATTTGCGGCCTAAAAGACTGGATACCATATGATCTTAACTATCTGGAGGAGGAGGAAGAGAAGGAGGAAAGCAACATATTCCTTGTAAGTCTTACAAATTTGCATAGATGAAACAACCATGACCATGACCATAATCTAAAAAAGAATTTTCCTTAAAATCCTTTCCACTTTTAAATGTTTAAGAAACCAGGAAAGTAGGAATAGCAAATAAACAGATCAGCAAGCAGTATGTGTAAATTTGTTTATTAAATAAATATTCAATTTAATCCCCACGTAGCTATGCATGAAAGGAATGAGAATTCAAAGATGAGAAACACACACTCTTCCATTAAGTCAGCTCCCCAGAACCACAATACAATTATTTTGGCAAAGTCTGGAGTTGTTTCACAGCTGTGTGATTTGTAAGTTAGCTAACCTAAAAACTGTTTGCAATCAGCCTTTAAATCTGTAATTGAAAAAGCCTTTTTTGACAGTATATGAGAACACAGGAAATCCTTTCTTAGTTCTTTCACAGGTCCTGTTCACTTAGGAGCAAATATTGTAAGTACATGGAAAATCTATTCTTCATTACAGAAGACATTAAATAGTGAACCTTTCAATAAAACTATTGAGGATCTGGCCCATCAGTTCAGGAGCATGGCTGTGATTCAGCTAAATCAAGAACTGGTGTTCAGAAGGTTTAATTCTTCTAATCCCTAACTTTTATTTTAGTTAAAAGCTATTCTCATCTTTAGGGAATTCTGATTATATTTACCATAACTTTTTGCTTCTTCCAATGGCATTTTGAAAGGGTCTGGGGCCCAGCATTGCTTAATCTCAATACTGGAAACAATTGGCTGGAATGTACGTATGCTGGGATACAAAGTGGACTTCAAGAGGTTGAAAAGCATAGAGCAAAATACACAGTAAATGAAGTTCACCAGCCACATTGTAATGAGACTGCACTCTATCTTTTATAGCCTCCTACTTGTTGACCATTAATAGGAAACACCAAAATATGAAGCAATTAATGAGGCAACTAAAGTATGTTCAATAGGAATCTGGATACTACTGGTAGGTCAAAGTTCCTGTCAGTTCTCCATGATTCCAAACCTTCAGAGTACAATCTACCAAGTGTTATCAGGGTAGATGTTCTCCAGCCTTTTCACATCATCCATTATTACCTGATCCTTTGAACAGAAGATGCCTTAAGTGAACCTGGGACCTTTCTATATGTGAGACAAGTGCTCCACCATGGAGCCTGAAGCCCCCAACACAATGAGAAGATATGAGAAGATATGAGATTTCAAAGCACAAGGGGCTTTTTTCCCCCCTGTGCAAGTCAAAAAACTTCATTCATTTGCAAAGGGGAGAAAAGGGACCTATCCCACCAAAAGCCACCAAAAGGGACCTATCCCACCAAAAGCCATGGCTGGAGTGGGTAGAATCGTACTCCCACCACAGACTGTTGGGACAGTAGTTTCCAAATTCAATAATTCTAAGCACAGCACTATTTCTTAAATAGTCTGAAGGAATTAAATGCCAGGAAACCTCCTAGGGATGCCCAACTAAGCTTTGGTTTATTAGAGTTGTAACAAAAGAAAGGCAAAATGGAGACTGTACCTCTGGAGTGGCGGAGGTCACGGTCACATTGGCCATGAGGCCATTCCTTTTATACATTCTCTCCTTGGAATATAGGAACTTCAGCTCAGCCACCACTGCTGATGTTATAGGTTGAATGGAGAACTGCTGCAAGATGTATAAAAAGCTGACTTAAGAAAGACCATCAATAGAAACATAACAATAATTAATGAGGAAGGAGCAAATGGTTGTGAATTGTATCGCATACCAGGAGGAGGAGGAGGAGGAGACATTTTATAAGCAATATGCACTGCCTATAAAACTAAGAACAATTTGAGCCCCATATCACCTGAAGTCGTCTTCCTCCTTTCTTATATTTTATTATATTCCCTAAGATTGGCTAAGCACATTAATTCTTCACATTTGAATTACAAAAACACAGAGAGGGGGCTTTTCCAATATAATAGACTCCCCCTTGTTGACTTAGAATATTCAAACATGTTCTGCAAGCAGTGTATTACTTTTTAGATGATGGTTCAGCATCTAAATCAGGCTGTTTCTCTACTTCTGACCTTCCTGCCCGAAAATGATGCTTGAAATTAATTACTTCATTCGTTTTGAGCATCAATTAAGTGATAAATTCAAAGTTACTGGGTATCACATTATTGGCAGCAATTAAAAAAAAAGAAGACCCTCCAGCATTAGAATATTAACAGAAGTAATAGGAAGACATTTAATAAATATTGAACTATAAACAGATGTTAGGAGCTCTTGCTTTAACCCGCAGAAAGTTATCCTAATCCCTTGAACCTCTCAGGAAAAAACCCTCCTAATGATATATCCTCTCACTGCTTTTTGTTATTCCAGCAAAATTCCCATAATCACAGCCACAATCTCAGTCCTATGACACGCCAATGACTCTTGTCATGAATGGCACAGCAGCTGCAATTAGAAAGCCAAAAGCACCTATTCATAATTCCATTTATAGTCCAGCCAAAGTCAACTAATTTACAAAAAGCAACTCACTCCTATTTGTGGAAATGGAACTGTACGTAAGAGGAAACAAGGAATGCGTCTTCATTTCATTATACACTCTTCGACTAAGTGACAAAATATTTTTCACCTCTGTCTTGAAAGCTAAGCAGGATCGGGCATGGTTGGTACTTGAAGAGGAGACCTCCATGGAATATCAGGGCTGGAGGCTAGATTAGCAAACCATTTGGTATGGCTGCCAAGAAAATGATACCGAGATACCCACAAAGTCATCGGAGACCTTACTGTAGGAGACCTTATTGATGAGTATGGGGCTACAGAATTGTAAGCCCAAGATTTCACGAAAACTGTGATGGTAAAGTGACACCATACAGGTACTCTTGAAAGCATAATAAAGGATAGAATAATTTAAGATAGCAAAAGACCTTCAATGAGATAAAGTTGGCAGAGCAAAGGGCATAGATGGTTATTTACTGGGATATACAGATTGATGAGATGGGGGAGAGAACTTAAAAGGTACATCTATACATGTGAAGTGGTTGTTGAAACTGGCTCAATGGAATGATGGAAAAACTTAAAATATGGCTTTTATATCAGGACCACTTTACTAAGTATTCCCTAGTCTCTCCTCTGTCTGCCTTCTGCATTTTTTTTTGTGTGTGAGGGGCTCAAATAGTGCTTCACATGAAAGTAAAAGAAAATTCCATATGTGACCTTGCAACAAGTCCAGTTCTGGCTTCCAAAGATAAAATTAACCAAGGAAATACAAAGGAGTCTTAATGACTGCACCAGTTGGTAAAATAACAAACATAATTTTCCCTAATATTCAGCATAAATCTCTTTTAACAATCACCTCCAGAAGAGCCACAAAAATACACTGGAAATTCCATCTAAATAATGCCTATCTTATCTGCCACACAACCTTCAAATTGGCATTTGGATTCTTTGGATTCCTGCTGTTGGATAAGTCTTTTTGGAAACTGATGAGACAGTTCCTTTCAGGGCAGGATCCTACACACAGAAACCGTGACAAGGTACCAGATTAAATCCCCAACAGAATCAGTCATCATAGCTTTCTCTTAAAAAGTCTGGGGTAAAAGCCTCTCTCCTTTTCCTCCTCCTCTAAAGATGTTATCCAAACAGAATGTTTGACAAATCATTGCAAGATTCAAAAGCAGTTTAGGATTTTGCAGGAATGTCTGCCTGCCTATAGCTATCAGTTCCTCCTAGTTTATGCTAACACTCCTCAAACCCTAGAGAAGACTCATGGCAACCCAGACTTGACCCTGCTCTGAAGTTTATGTTCTCATTCGCATCTGAAGAACTCAACTTCTTTAAAAGACAAAATATATTTTAATATATAATATTAAGGATTTCTGGCATTCTAAAGGTACAGTATTTGAGACAAACATTATCCATTTCATTACCCATTGTCAATTCCAGTCTATTTTTGCAGATCCTTGCCACATTTTACAAAATTACTACAAAGTATCAGCATATTCCTAAAATTATATCCTGTTCAGCAGTGCCACCTAGTGAATAACAAAAAATATTGGAAATCAAGTCAAGTTAAGAAGGTGACTGTTCATATCATCCATACCTCACTGAATGAATTCTGTGAGAAATACTATGACATCTCATGAAATGTAGAACAAAACATGCCCTATTCTCAGACTTCAAACATTGGGACAAAATTTTATTAAGTTTCCTGAAGAAAACAGGCTATTAATAATGACGTATAGGAGAAGGAAATCTTGAAAATATTTTTTCCTTCTTCCATATTGCCTTGGAATGAAAAATTATGAAAGTTCTTCATCTGTAGATTTTTTAAAGTGATTAATACAACATAAAAACATAGATCCCCATATGAAGATTTACACATTATTCAAACTATTATATTTCGGATATTGACAGTTTTATTTCAGTAAGATTCCAGCCCTTCTACATATGATTTTGCCATAACCATAACCATAAATCTTTCCTCCCTCCATTTATAATAAACTGGAAGCAGACTAACTTACCCATAATGAATTTTTCTTCTCAGTTTTAAGTACAGGCAATTAAACACAAGTGAGACATTGTAGTGCATCTCTCACAATCGGTTTCTCTGAAAAGACAATAAAAATGTAACAGAGCTGTCATTTTCTCTTGTTTAGATTGCAAAGTCATAATGAAAGTCATTCACAGTAAAGTCAAAGCACTTTTTCATCCATACTTTGACTTTACTTTTTCAGCTTTCTCTTTGGTCATAGGAGGAAATCAGTAATAGTACTCAGACTAAACCACAGATTAAGAAAATTCAATATGGAAAATTAACAGCATCTTCAATCTTGAGTATAATATGTAACTTCCTTCACGGAAAATTTGCTGTCTAGCACCACTACAATAGGACAATGACCTAGAGGATCTTTGATCTGGGATAACAATACTCCCATATAGGACTTTTGGAGACAGGCAGCCAGCTATTAATGGCACTGAAAACATCAACAATACCCATTGTGAGCTCCCTAGAGGACAGATATCTGTTTGTTCCAATAATACTCTGTAAAGCATTGTATGCTCTATAAACTATTGTATGTGTGTGTTTTTTTTAAACTGGCTCTTAGAAAAAAAATCAGGCACATTTGTAGAAAGAATTTGGGGACTATAATCTTCAAGCAAACTAGCACACTATGGAGAGCTTTACATAAAGAAGCAAAAAAATCTACCATCCCAAGCCAATCACTGGTTGAATTCAAATGCTTTCTTCTTAATTCTCAAGGGCAGACTGAATAGTATTCACTTAGTGGAAAAAAGAGACATGGGCATAGATTGGGCTAATATCTTCTTCAATTGCCCAGAGTCACTTCCTCGTGAGAGGGGCAGTGTCTAAATTCGAAATATAAATAAATAAATTAATGGTTAATTCAAGGCTAACTTTCACTCCCGTAGCACGAAGATATGAAAATATGCACACAGGCTCACAAACACATTTCAAAATGGCATGAAACAGACCCACGCAAATACAAACGAAATTCTTTGGACTTCTTGTGTATGCGGCTTCTTGCCTGAGACTGTGTGTATTCAGGGAGCAGCAAGTGCTTCTATGCTTGTTTATATCTCATGGAATCATCATCAGAGACAGTATTTCAAAGATCCTCCGCTTGGTTTCCGTATTGCAGTGGTTGAGAAACAAATGCAGATTCATGCTTTGTCAATATGTCACTTTAAGGAACATGCCAATTCTCTATTTTCCCTTCCAAATGTATCCCAAAGATAGAAAATAGACTGCATCGGTTTCAGCTTCTTATGTGAAGTAGAAAATAGCTTTAAACTACATTCCTGGCTTTATTTATTTATTTTTAATCTGAACTGGATTGCCAAACAATAAAAATGGTTGATTATTAATCCGAGTAAACTTTTCCCTCAGTCAATCTGTTTCCTGGAAACGTAATTTACAAGAACCATGTGAACAGTTCATGGCTACTATAAGACACCTTTGCTTTGTTTTTAAATGAATTCAGTGATAACAAGTCAATAATATTTAATTGTGGCCCATTTGGGTGCCTTTGAGGTTTGTAATTAAAGTAAAAAGTCATACAAGTTTAAACTTTATTTTTCTTTACTTTTATTATTCTTTAATTTGTACTTACATGAATAGGACTTAGGGGAACTTATGATGCAAATAACTGAAGGATGAACACTTTCTGAACCAGCTCAAAGTAGCATAAATAGAGGTGATATGTCTATGATTTTAAATTAATTCTACAGCACATTAATTAATGACTCATTTTATAGGGAATCAAACTACTGGTACATCTGGCCCAGCTTTTTCTAGCTTAGAACCATCTAACCCAATACATCTGTAGTAGGAAAGGCATTTAACTAAATTTTCCAACCAAATTATTAATTTGCTTCAAGCTGGATGATTCTAAAATCAAATTTCCTGCTTTAACATTCCTGTTTCCTTGACTACTCAGTAAACAATCAATAATTTGCAAATAAATCATCATAATCATTAACTGCAGCAATCTAAGCAAGACACACATTATCAGTGATCGGTTTATAACCTGCTTGAGTAGTCATAGAAAAAGCAATCTAGATTGGATATTTAAAAAAAAAAAAAAAAAGAACACCATGTTTATTCCCTTAACACATTTTTGGCTAACCATGTTGCAAGATCTGTGGAAACGAACATGACTGAATTTACTTTATGAGCTAAATTAATTTTTCGTATTAATTAGCAGTATTTCCCATTTATATATAAGAATGGAGCTAAACTATTTACCAGACATTCCAGAAGAAAAATAACTACCCTGAATTTTTCTCCTTTATGAGTGATTCCCAGCCTGGTGTCCTCCAGATCTGCTGGGAATACATCTCCCTGAATTTTCAGCCTGCGGGCTACCAGCATATTGTATGAAAATGTTTGCTCTAAAATAGGATGCCAGAATTAAAAATAGGCTGTTCAGAAACTACAAAGAATCAATAGTTTGATTGTGCATGCTCTCTTTCCCCTTAGTTTGTTGTGGCATCAAATTGAGCAAGGCATGGTTACCATAAACTACAGAAGGCTAAATGCTCTTGGTGGTGCCTCAATCAACCATGACGTTTCTATTAACAGTAATTGTAGGCTGTTGCTACATCCACTGTCGTCATGGTCATTCTAAGTAGCAATTCACAATAAACAAGGGGAGGTATATGGATATCTATGCATTTTGCTTTGAAGGAGATCATTAGCAAGAAAAGTTATGTTTATACCCTTAAGAAACTGAACCAAGGAAAAAAGAAATAACAATAACTAAAGGCTTTCTTAAAGAGCTTTAATTCTGATACAAGATATAAGGTAAGTGAGTTTAACATCTATCTATCTATCTATCTATCTATCTATCTATCTATCTATCTATCTATCTATCTATCTATCCATCCATCCATCCATCCATCCATCCATCCATCCATCCATCCATCCGTAAATGTAGCCCTGCTCCCCACGTGTGGCTTTAGGTAGCTAACAGCATGTACAGTTTTATGTAAGATTCTATATAACCATTGAAATCATTAAAGCCAGCAGGGCAAAAGTCTAAACTGAAAGGTCTGAGTAAAAATCTTTTCAGCCCACTTCACAACAACTCTAACTTTAAAATAAATTTAACCCATGATCCTAATAACACAAAATCCTCCAAACAACTCATAAAATAAAGACCAACAGTAACAATAACAAAATTAAAAAAAATACATACAAATTACTCTTCTTTTTTTCTCAAAGTTTATAAAGAATTAGCTTTCCTTACAACGTAATACAGCATATCTTCAGAAAAGGGTTTCTTGATTTGATCACTGATCTTTATGCACTATTCAATAAGTCCTTGTCCAATTATGCATTTAGCAAAACCAACCTAAATAAAGTCCTGTATCTTATCTAGTTTTATTAAGGCCCCCGAAGTTTGGTTGTCTTCTCAGCCATGACATCTGGAAGTTCCATCTGCCTGGAATTTCTTCATTTTTATTTCTTTAGAAATTGTTCTTATGATCATCATAAACTTTCTAATTTGCTTGGCAAAGAAGCATGTCAGAATTGGGAAAAACAGTAGCCGTGGCAAGCACTTTTATGGATTTCTGATTTTAAAAAAGCTATCAGAAACATAGCACAACTGTTAGCAGCCTTAATTAAAGCCTAATTCACTTTCAATTAGGGCTAGGAAAGCCCCAAGGAATGTGAAAGAATAATTTATTCCATCACTGGTTATTGTTTCAGCTAGCTTTTGGGACCACTCTGGTGAGGTAACAAAAAAAGATTACTAGAAGTAATCCTCTGTTTTCTCTCATTCTTGGTTGATTTATATAGCAACCACAATTCCTAAATGTAAATTCTTACTTCAGTATATTGCTGTTTCCAGGAACATGAAAGCAAGACAAGAATTTGCCCTGATACCCCAAGTCCAGCTGAAGCAAAAATTCTGGGTAACAGAAGATAGTAAAGCTAAACTGATGATGGTTGGTGCCAAGTATTTGGATACAGTCACTCACATAGACCATTATTATGACACTGCTTCAGATGAGCTAGCAATGGCTGGATTGTGGTTAAGTCAAAGGAATCAACAATGGTCTCTCATAGTAGAATCTCAGAAGGAAGAAACTCAAGAAAACACTGCATATTCAGTCCCCGATACATGGGAAACATCATGCCAGAACTTGACCAAAAATGTTCAGCATGACACTGCTATTGTCTACAAGGACCCAGCACAACTGGAATATCTCAACAATGATCAGCAGCCTGATTTGAAGACAGCAGATAGAGAAGGTGAATGTACAAAATCTAGTTCTACATACACAGAGCTAGTGGGCGAGAGCGAGATAATTACATATCTACTAGCCCATCTTCACATAGATTTGAAAACCAATGAAAGAGAAAATATGACCATGGAGGATTTTCTGCAGAAGGCGGGTATCCAGCATTATGCAAGCAATCACATTATTAATCAAACAACATACTTATTGTCTAACAAGTATACAATTCTCATTCAAAGGGAAGAAAGCTCTTTGAAGGAGTCTGCCACTGTATTGTTAGACGTAGATATTTTTAATATTTGCAAAGGCTTGGAAGACATTGAAACATTAGCCACTTACCTGGGATTTGAACTCCAAGGAATTCAGAGTGAGCAAGAATGCATTATGTAGCAAGTCAAAGCAGCACAAGCGAAAATCTCATTTCTTTCTTACCATTGCTTTGTAAGGGATTATGAAGGCTATGGTAATAAGTTCGTGTTGGCACGCTGCATTTTCCCCTTTAAAAATGTAACCTCAGGACTGTGTGTAACACCACTGTATGCAGCTTGAAAAATACAGATTTATGGCAACAGCAGCAGTTCGTTTAGTGTCAGCAGCTATCTATGAATAGCACAGTTACAGCAGCTGCTAAGGGAGGGATGTTCTCCTAGAGCAACACGCGAGCAAAATGAACTGCTGAAATTTGGTTTCTTCTTTGCTAAGGTGCACAGGATAATCAATGATCAAATCTAATCTTCTGACTTAGTAGAACCGAACAAAATCGTGTTGTCTACAGGCATCTGTTTTGGTAACCAGGGCAATGAAAAGATTAAATACCGGGCTGCCTGAAAGAGCATTTCAACTTAGAATATGCATATTCAGTTCACCATTACTATTTTTAACATTCAGAGGAAGCAAGAGACTGCTAGCGTTGGGACTGTCTTTATTTGCAATCTAATGAATAGAACACGGGGCATTAGAGCATCGGTTCTAGCATCAGGAATAACTCATCAGATTAAAGCTGAGGATTCTTTCCTTATTCTGTCAGCATATACTTCCAAGAGATCTATTTACACTCTTTGTAAAAGTAGAAAAGATGGAGATAACAGAAAACCCATCTTCTCTCTCTCCTCATTGTTGAACCCTAAGCTATGGGATCATTCACTCAGTTATTGTGCATTGCCTCCAAATGTCTATTTAGGGGCTTCAGTTCATGCATCTATAGCTAAATCCTGTCAATAAATCTGTGACTTTAAAATCATGGTGGGAAATGGTTCTTTCTTAAAAGGTAATTCATTTGGGGATAGCATTGGGTCATAATATTCTTTTAAAACAGTGCTGCAAAGCGAACAGGTTAGACTAGGTCTGGGGAAGATCCAGGTTCAAGTCCAACCTTAACCATGGAAATTCACTAGGTATCTTGGAGCTGTCCAAACTGCCTTGCAAAGCTGAGCTGTGGAATAAAATGAAGGGCCTAAACTCCAGAAGGAAAGAAGGGATATAAATCTGATGAATAAACAAACTATGTAAGGTTTCATTCAGATTACTGCACTGGTGGCATTTAACCCTCCAAGGCTGCCCTAAATGTTGTTTGTCCCATCTCCCAAGTATTGGAAAAGATGGGCATGTATTTCTCTGCATGGTTTATATGCTTTATGCCTAAGTATTTTTGGAAGGGAATCTTCCGCTCTAGCAAGATAGCATATCACAGAACATTTTTGTGATGGTCTTTTATTTCTTTCTTCCTTATGAATAATGAGCTTTCATGTATCAGAACTGTTCTTCCTTGGAGACTGTAACCTCTTGGCCTTCTTCTCTGAATTCATTAAGGTGGCAATCAATGCAGAGTTTGAAATCTGACTCTCGGAAAAATGTACCCAGAATATTAAGAGAGAGATTAAAATTATAAAGAGATATTTCCATTATCTTGTTTTATACATACTGCATATCAGAAGGCCCGTCATTTATCTTGCTGTTATTATGGGATTTAGTATTTTAAAAGAATGGGGTTTGGACAGCTGAGTCTGCTTTCGTATCAGTTATTTTTAAGTATCAAACATATTTCCTATATAATTAAAAGTGCATTTTGAAAAAAGATTAAAATTTAGAAAAATGCCTCAGCAAAAGTTGGTTTAAAAGAATTTGAAATATTGTTCCTAAAGGAAATTAAGAACCACAGAAGATAGGATTGTGGTGACATGGTTCTCATTCATTTCTCTTATCAACAGAATGCCTTCCCATCAAAAGCAAGCATCACTCAAAAATCATACTGGAAATGTACATTAATATCATTTAGGGAAAAGCCAATCTCATTTTAAATATCCAATTGTAATTATGTTTAATGTATAACAGCTCTTTTGTCAACACTCTTAAAATATGGACTGATATCTTAGTTACTTGTTACATACTTTCTTGTTGTTATACTCCTATGAAAAACAAACGTAACTGGGCAAAACGCCTCACTTGTTATAATATATCCATTTGCATTCAACACTGTTTCTTTAAGAAGTATGAAATCCCAACACACAAAACACAACTTTCCAAGTCTAACAGAGCATCGGGTAATTGCATTTTAGTTGGTCTGATTTCTGCTTTAGTTCAGGTACCACCACGCTTCAAACATCCATTCAATCTCCTCATAGATGATATGGAAATAACATGGTTCACAATAGCAAGAATTCCATGAAAGAAAGCTATGTCTTCCCAAATACAGCTTACAGTACTATCTTGATAAGACTAGGACTAACAAAATAACAACCCCAGCCCTCAAGTTCATCAAATGATTTGAAAGGAAAACAGGATCAACAGGATGAAAACCACTTAGATCCAGAAGACCCCACAGCACTGCTTGCCCTTGAATTTCTCCCTCCCAAGGTCTCCATTGGTGACTCAGTGCCAAATACACAGACTGATACAATCATCAATTTCAGCAACGTATGTCTGGATCTGTATAATCCTCTACGTACTCTGCAGCTGTCTAACAGCAGCTACCGAGCTCAGGTGTGTATCAACATATGACCATAAATAATAATTAATTTACATTTATATTACCAAAGGGAATAGCATCGTCTATATAACTACTCTGAATGGCTCTATGCCATCTGTAGTATTGATTCCATAAGGGAAAGGTATATGATCAATATTTCCCATTATTATTAAAGCCAGGGTAGCACCCAGGACTCTTAGAATACCAATATTAAGTGATGGGTGGGGGGAGCTGTAGACCAGCAACATTTGCAGCATCTCAGATTGACAATCCCTGATTAAATCATTGGGTTTTTACCGACTGCAAGCACAAGCCCTGTGCAGACAGGACTGAACACACATTTCAAATTACTAGACCGTAGAGCAAATACTTCGATGACCAGATTCTTCTTTTGTGCTCGACAAAAGAGGTGATCACGTTTCTCCTGAAACAATTTGTTTTTAAATCATCCCATGCTTTAAAACACAATGTATTTGTCACAAGGGATATTGCTGGCAGCTGGTAATAAATGTTGCATTTATGCACATAAAAGAATTTAGGATAGGGTCTAGGCACTTTTGAACACAGGTCAAAAGAACTGTGACCTCCTAACATTAATCAGTCCTTCCGCCGTGTGAACATATCATCATAGAATCGGTGTTAACTGAATTCAGAGAAGGCAAAGGGGCTACCGCCATGCAATGGGACAATGAGCACGTAGATCTGTCCAGAGTAGGCTGCAATAACTGTGATGGCCACAGCTTGGCTGGATTAACAGCAAAAATAGAAATACAGGTGTTGGTCTTGGGCAGGAATACATTTATTAACTTAAGCTACAATCCCATCTTGATTAGTCATACTTGGCTACAGTTCCCTCTGTACTAGGTATAGTCATTTTTGCTGCCACAATGACTGCCGTGCACAGCTGCCTTTGTCCTTTGGCAGCTCACCTGGATTGAAGTGCAGCTGCATGCATTTTAGCGTGGGCTTGGAGGACTGAATGTATTCTGTTAATTCGGTGCCAACTGCCTGCTTACAAGTACTTTGTTTTCAGGCTCACTTCAAGGCGCTCCTGTTATCTTGCACGGCTTTGGACCAGATTTTCCAAAAGATCCTCCCCAATTAAGGTCGACTGCAAGGGTGAGCAAGTAAGTTCAATTAGACTGGTGCAGTATGTAGAAAAGGTAAGGATCACTTATCAACCCTTGCCGTGGACTCATGGAGTCTCTGAGAACATCCATCTCACGTTACAGTGGAAATGATCTCAGTCATGGTTCTCTTCTGTGAAGGGAAAAGGTTATGGGTCGCAAATAGTATCAGTTAGATTGAGTTGCTCACTGCCTTCAATGTATGGCTATTATACTTCACTTTTCTCTCCACTGCACATTTGCAGAGACTCCCACATGGTTTTAAGGGGACAGACTCTTTAACCAGGACGTTTTAACTGATATTGTTTTAAGCATTTTTCTTCTATTCTGTTTTTTTTAAATCATGTAATTAATTTCTGCTAGCCACTGCATAAGGAAATATATGATATAAATACTTTAAATAACTAAAATAAACACTGAGTCATGTTCCGAGAAGGGGATTCCCTCCTCCTGTGTTTACCTGACTAGATTACTGTTCCTGTCTCCCTCACTGTAGGAAAAGAGTTGACTTTGGCTGGAGTTTCAAGCAGTGTACTTAAAAAGCTCCAACTGAGATTTCCTATTTCAGCCAGGCCAAGCTGCCAACTGGATGAGCAAAACGCCTATTCAGAAGGCTCTAAGTTGCCTCTAACCAAGTAAAGTTATCATAATTTATTTCTTAACCTATACAAGTTAAGAAGTAACAAAAGTGTAAAGTGCACTTGGAAACACTTTAAGTCTAGCTGAAAAGGCAAGATGTTAAAAGTCATGCTTAGTACAATCCTATGTATCTTCCAAGAGAACTGCAAGATCCTGTTGAAATTGGCGAGACTAATACACTTGAAAGCGTAAAGAGGACTGTAGCCTAAATTGTTAATACACCATTTACAAATACTTAACAAGTTCCATTTAGAAGAAAAAACAATTTACAGAGCTTCCCAATATTCTGGTTCTAAAGACACTTATTTAAACAACTCTCCTCAATTCTACTGGAATTTCTAATGAACTAAGAATAAATTTCTGTAGATTTAAAGCCAGTTCTAACTCACTGCAGTCCTGACTCCTTCTGAGAAAAACATAATTGAAATCATTTGGTGATTACCAAGTAAATGTACTGAGTTACAAGGGGGATACCCCCAAATTTCAGCTCATGCTTGTAGACAATTCAGGCAATTTGCTTACAGATATTCCCATGAATCACAGATTTCACAGTTCTAGGATCTGTTGTGTTTTTTTATGACAAGGTTTTAGATGTTCATTTACACAATACAGGATTTGCATGTTGCATGTTGCACATGTTAAAACATGTTATTTTATGTGCTAACTCTGCATGCTATGAAACTCAAGTGACAGTACTCTACTCGTATTTCACAAGAACCAGTCATCTATGTACAATGTTGATTGGGATTTCATGTGCTCAGTTCCCCAGAATTGAATACAAAGTATGCATAGTTTGCCATTTATTTTACAAATTACAGACGTGTCATTTTTTCATGTGTTCAATTTATTATTCCAATTCTTTTAGTAATCATACAGTATACCCAAAGGAAGATCATCTTGACACTGTTTCTCCACCCCACAACAGGAAGAGTAAACAAAACAAAGTTCAGACACAAATCTGCAATGCTCAGCTTCCCCACCTTGTTTAAACACACCTGAATTCATAACTACTGATTCATACTGACTGCCTGTAAAATAACATATCCTCATTTATAAAGCAGATACCTTGTCAATATACTGTATATCTGTTCTCTCACACACTAAAGCCTACTAGTATATGTACATTTCCTTCCTTCCTTCCTTCCTTCCTTCCTTCCTTCCTTCCTTCCTTCCTTCCTTCCTTCCTTCCTTCCTTCCCAGGAAAAAAGAGGGAAAAATCAGCCTGGAGATGAAAGGGGATGGAGAAGTGCACAGGGAAGCCAAAGGAAGAGAAAAAGGGAACACTAAACTTGATGAAAATGAGAGGAGTAGGAGAGGTAACTGGGCTGAAAAGGAAAGAAAGGGAAGACTTATTAGGTATTACAAAAAGGATTGAAGTTCAAGAGGTAGCAGTCCCTCACCAGGCTAATCTTCAAAGAAACCTATGCTTTTCAGCAGTGGTCTGCACTTCTTCATACCTCCTGCCTAGTCCTCTGTTTTCAAAAGCTTCTCTTCTTATCAGTGAATATAAAACCACCACATCAATTTGTTAACAGTATGTGGATAGAGTTTAAAGATGACTTCTGATGCAGAAGTCATCTTTGTATTGATTTGACATGGACAACAGCATTCACAAGAGCCACTGAAAGGTGTGTCATTAAGCTCCTGCCCCCTCTTTTAACATTTCAGCTTTATTTAACAGGTTAAGGAGCATGGAAAAAAGTTCACAAGTAAATTTGTTTAGTACAAGGAAAAACTGTATACACATACACACACGCATACATATGCCTACATACACACCCATACTGCTTCACCAGAAAAGGGAGTATTGGCTGTTTAGATTAGAACTGGAAAGGAGAAGGTATTTTGATAATATACAATAAATACCAATAAATAATATTTTTATTTACACTAAAAGCAACTTTTTAGGATATTTAAAATAATGAAAATATATTGGTCAGGAAGCACACCTATTTGTGAATCAAAGCTATCAAGGAGACCACGATAAGCTTCAATACACACATTTCAAAATGTTACTTGTGATTATTTGAAGCTCTGCAGTGCATCTCCTACTGATGCTATTTTTGGCATCACAAATAAGATGTACAAATCCTAACAATCCTACGAAATACACCGACCCTCCACAGCAGACTGCAAGACAATCAACTTAAAAACGCACAATTGACAACACCCTAAATTAAATGCCCCCTTCCAAACTATACTTAGCCACTGACTTTGCTGTAAACAAGCACTGTAACCAAACATGTTCTCACAATCTGCCTCCTGTTATTTATTTTTATTTTAAATATATATAAATGTCATCCTGCATTGATTCCAAGATGCTTTACAATAATAAGATAAGAGACATGTTTGGATGAGTTGAATTCAAGATCTTTTGAATACTACCACATTGCTTAACAAACTGGATCTGGATTAAAGAGGCATCTGATTTGTCTCTTAGGAATGACCATAATTAAAGCTCGACCACAATAACGTCTTTTAATACATGTCATCAATAGACACACAAAAAATGTAAACTGTCCAATACTGTTAAATTCTAGCCATTATAGATACCGGAACATATTGCAATCATGTATGTTCAAGACAAATTTGAATTATTACTGTCATTTTAGGGAAATGCATCAAAAGACTCTACAATTTCATCGAACTGTAGAATACGCGCAAAATCAATCACAGGGTAACACTGTAAGTTGAAGCTTCTAGATCTACTATTTCAAAATGCTCTTCTTGATGAACGTATATATTTTTGACTCTTCCACTGGCAATAAGAACGGTAGAGATCCCATATTCTCTAAGCAAAGAATTCAAGCTGACACTTTAAAAGGTTGCCAGTCTCCTTAACAAATACACTGCACTTTTATTTCGTAAGCTTGGCTCTGTGTTGTTCCCAAACATCCTGAAAACAATAGGTGAAACACAGTACCACTAATACTCACAGGAATGATGCAAGTTAACGTATCACTCAAGACTGTTACGGCAACTATTTTATAGAACTAACAATCCTGCATTGTACTGACTCATGTTACAAACCAAATAAGAAAACTCAAATCCATGCATCCAGGGAACACAATACATGAAAGTCTGACTCAATGCCTTTTATATTTATGGCCATGAAGATACAAAAAGACATGAATAAAAAAATGTTTTTTCCAAGAATGAATATTTACTTTGGTTATCAATGCCAAGCACAGCTATTATTCCCCTTCACCAGTCTATCTTCAGTGAAATTTGTACATGCGTGTATTTTTTTTTTTAAATCCGATTCAATGGTGTCCGATTCTCAGAGACTGCCTGGACGAGTCCCTGGAGTTTTCTCGGCAAGGTTTTCCAGAAGTGGTTTGCCATTGCCTCCTTTCTAGGGCTGAGAGAAACCGACTGGCCCAAGGTCACCCTGCTGGCTTTGTGCCTAGGCGAAGCTAGAACTCATGGTCTCCCGGTTTCTAGCCTGGTGCCTTAACCACTACACCAAACTGGCTCTCATATATTAATAAGAAATAAATGAGAGCGTTAGTCATATAGGTTACACGCTGCACTGTGTTTTTATATAACTAACCTCTATTGTATTTCATGTAGCTTCAATTTCTATTCATCTTTAACCCACACTGTTTGGGGATGCACTGCAATGACATGAGATATATAAATTATTAATTACCTGAAACAAACGATGGGGTTCTCTCTGTCATAGGTGAAAAGATAACATTTTGACAGTCATGGGGAACTCTCTCTAGAATTGAGCCAAATATGAAATACGCTCCTGAGCTATTTTAGTGGTGTATGACACAGATGAGAACATTCTAAAATGTAGGCCACAGCCTGAAATCCAATGTCACGCAAGCATGGAGGTAAGGAAAGAGAGCTTGTTGAGATACTGTAAAGGTAGATTCAGGTACTATGAGATGAAGTGTCCAGAAAGGATGGAAATATGCTGATTGGAATGGAAAGGTAACAGGGCATCCCCAGTAGCACAATATCCTCTCTTTTGATACAGGATATCATCTGTTTACCTGTAACATATTGAAGTACACAAACGCTGCTCCGCTCCATTACACATCATGAGAAAATACTCTAAAGCACTGTGAGTACTAGCCTTGATTTTCTGTTAGCTATCTACTGCTGTTGTTACCCATTGCTATCATAATGTTGCATATATAAGCAACTGGATGTAAAAAACCCCCCCAAAACATCCTTTCTACATGTACGTAGACACAACCCCCCCATATATATTATATTGCTGTTTACATAGATGCCACACAGATATCCACAAAGCCAAGAGTGCAATAAATGTGCCATACCCACGCAAACTTTAAAAAGAAATCTATAAAGTGTTACAAATATTACACAGATACACAGACACAAGCATACACAAATATATATATATATAATCCCTGTAAGCCATCCAGAGTCAATGGACTCTGGGCTATCTCACTGCATAGACAGATGCAACACAGGTAACCGACAGAGGCAAAATAATGTGGATAAAAATGCCAGATCCAGTCTAAACATCTGGCTGACTGTGGGACCAACCATAATCAGAATCATAAGAATACGAATAATAAGAATACCTGTTGTGAACCACCCAGAGTTGCTTGGATGAAATAGGTGGCCATACAATTCACATAAATGCACAAATCCATAACCAATACCACTTTCTACGGAAGCCCACCACGCCAAGCGAGTAACCAACATGCCATACCCCTGCAAACTTTAAACAGACATCTACAAAGCGTGAGTTGCAGATGTCACATAGATACACGCACAAATAGAGAATCGTTGTAAGCCACCCCAGAGTCACTTGTGCCAAAGAGGTAGAGAGATAAATCACACGAATAAAATACATACCTACACACACACCCTGCACAGAAGGGACACCCATGAAATTGACAAGCCCAGACGGCTCAGGAGCAATAAAGGAAATGGGTCTCTGCACCTGTCTGGTCTCTATTATCTGGCTGCACAGACAGATGCAACACAGAAGCAA